AAAGAGAGAGAGAGAGAGAGAGAGAGAGAGAGAGAGAAATAGAATGAATAGATAAGAGAATTTCTCTTGTAAGAAGCAAGAATCAACAATGACTCAAGTCCCAGACCAACTGCTAACGTCAATAATTTAAAAGGTCCCATCCAATCTCTGAAGACCTTTTACTCTTGCTGGTGGTTTCCTGGGATGGGTTGAGTCAACACTTCCTTTAGAACAGATGTGACAATTGCCTGGCCCTGGATAACGTGGTGCTATATTTGACCGCTAGGCTTGGGTTACAGTAAAGACGCAGTTTGAGGTTGTCACAGCGTGGAGGCAACTGATAAAACCAGGAACTTACAGCACAGTTGCACAGTCCCCTGGACTGTCCTTCAGCAGCTCAGATGAACGGCCTTTGAGCTGGCAGAGGAGCAGAAGGCAGACATTGCCTCTGTCTTTGCCTTGGCCGCCATCTACGCCCCTATCTACTCCTAGGGGTTGAAGTCACCTTCCAGTCAGCACACATGGGACCCCCAACCGCCCTGGGCCCTCAAAGAGTCAGGGGGACTGGCCCTTGGCTGCTAGTTTGCCGGGTCATGCTTTCATACTAACTGGGGACCTGGCCATTTTTGACACGTATTCCATTCTCTTGGTTCAAGATGACTTCATTCTCACCAGGGCCTCATGTTTCTAGTAAATAAGTGCCATCTGTTATTTACAAATCACATTTTACATAAGCACGTTTTGCAACTTTCGAGCTATTTACATCTCAAGTTCATAGCAGGTGCTTATATTTGGGGGGTTGAGGTGTCCCAATGTGTAGCATGCTGATCAAAGTAGCGGATGTTCAAAAACATGTTTACCATATTTTAAAAAACGAGTTTACATAAAATATGGTTTGAGTGAGCACATACACACACATACAGCAAGCTGGTAGGAGGAGGAAACATTCATTTCTTTTTTACATAACACACTTGGTGATGAGGTCTGAGATCAGAACCGAGACATGCAGGTCTTCAAAAAAAT